GAGAAACCGTTAGGTTAACAAGAAGCAATAAAGTACCAAAATGCCCTTATGAGTGGTTCCCTAGACTGTCCCAAGTCAGTTTAAGCTGGGGTCAGTGGGCAGAGAACTTGTAGGAATGAGGCCAAGAATATTGCCATCCTGGTGCTGAATTTGAGAATCATTTGTCATCCATGTTCCCACTGAAGAAAGAACCTAAATATTAAGCCACTTATTTTCTAAATTAAAGACTCAGAAGAGCCAGCATGAGTTTCTGTGGGGTTCATCCAGGGTCCTAAACAAGCTTGGCCTGGCAAGTCTTGTGTTTTCTTGCATTTTGTACCAGTATTTGGGCCTGATGGGAACCTCCATTGTGGGGAGCTGGACTTTCACTGAGCTGGTCAAGATTGGTCTCTGACATCTCAGAGGATGGCCAGGACAGAACAGTCTCTGAGGGCTGAGATCTGGTACAAGGCAATCAGGAGCTGGCAGGGGCCCATCTGGAGTCTGGTAAAGGGCAGAACTTTGCTCTTTCATCACCCCCCCTCACTGAGCCAGGCCCTAACTGAGACTTTGGCAGTACAGATGGCAGGAGCCTGTATGTAGTGCCTCCCTTTCCTTTATTCAATGTCTGTGGGAAAGGTTGAGCTTTCTGTTTATCAGCCACTCAGGTTTGAGACTCCATTTCTGTGGGAACCTCCCTGAAAAGAGGGAATGGGGGATACAGATAGCCCATAGACAGGCCAGTATTACCCCCTCAAATTAGAAAATCGCACACACACTGGAAGGGGGATAATGGACAGTTAGGTGCCAGGCACCAGCCTAAAAGGGGTTGGCTTGGGCCCGCCTGCCTTCCCAGCAGACTTCTGCACTATCTAGGGGCTCAGGTCCCCTTGCACTGACTCTTCTGGCCTCTTCTATGCCCCTCACTCTTAACTTTCTAGCCAGTCCATATGGAGTTGTGGTTGAAGTACAGGGCTTTGGGTCCATGCTGGCTGTGAGCAACTGTGCTGGATAGCTTTAGTGTCAATGTGACACACCTGGGTTGAGGGAGCCACAATTGGGGAATTACCTCTATTGGACTGGCCTGTGGCCATGTCTGAGGGGCATCTTCTTGATGAGAGATGTGGGAGGGCCCAGCCCACTGTGGGTGGTGCCACCCCTGGGCAGGTGGGCCTGTGTTGCATAAGAAAGCAGGCTGAGCAGGGTCCAGGGGAGCAAGCCAGTAAGCAGCATTCCTCCATGGCCTGTGCTCCAGCCTCTGCCTCCAGGTTCCTGCCCTGAGTTCCTACCTTGGACTCCCTGATGAACTGTGACCTGGGAGTTGTAAGCTAAATAAACCATTTCCTCCCCAAGTTGGTAGTGGTCAGAGTATTTTGGCACAGCAATGAAGAAACAAACCAGAACAGCAACTTTGAAGCACTGCTAGTTCACTAGTAGTGAACTTTCCACACTAGTGCCTGGATACTGGGCACGCCCTAGAGGCACCTAAGAGAGAGGGTCCAGGACTTGGGTGAGGAAGTGTCTCTGAGTTCTCTGATTTCTGCTGAGGAGTTTGGATGCTGATGAATTTATAAATCACATCCTTAAAGAAATACATGGGGGGCTGGAGAGATGCCTCAGCAATTAAGAACACTGACTATTCTTTCAGGAGGCCTGGGTTCCCAGTACCCACATGGCAGCTAACAACTGTCCCTAACTTCAGTTCCAGGTGATCCAGTGCCCTCTTCTGACCTCTGTAGGCATTGCATGACATGGGTGCACTTACATACATTCAAGCAATACACATATACACATAAAGTAAAAATAGTAAAATTAAAAAAAAAAGACAGGAATTGCATACTCAAAGCTTCCTTCTTTCATGTTTAATTTCCTAGGTGTTTGGGATCCCACACAAAGAAAGTCAGGCTTGCTCAGAATAGCCTGAGATCCAGTTCTGGCTCCCGGTGGGATTCCTAGCTCCCTTTTGAGAGCACTGTCCTTTAGTGGAGGAAATGTATGTAATTTCATCGTTTGTTGTAATGTGCTAGAAAGCACATTTTTAAGTACTATTACTTTTTCTTTTCTATTAGTCTTTCTGTCACTGTGAGTAAAATTGAAAATGCATCCTGGTTTGAATTCTGTTCTTGGCAAAAGATAACATATTTCCCCATTATGATGATGATGATGATGATGATGAGTATGAATGTATTGCCTGCATGTATGTGAGTGCACCCGTGTCATGCAGTGCCACGGAGATCAGAGGAGGGCTTTGGATTCCGCTGGAACTGGAGTTAAGGACGGTTTGTAGCTGCCATGTGGGTGCTGGGACTCGAACCCGGATCCTCTGCAAGAGCAGTCAGTGCTCTTAACCACTGAGCCATCTCTCCAGCCCCATATTTCCCCCTTTTAAATATTTTTTAATTAAGACTCATTTAAAAATTAAGACTCATAAAATCCTTTTTAAACTTTTGTACTGAGCAATAAAACAGACTTATACATAACAGCACCCAGAATTCTTAAGGTGTCAAGTTCTAACAAGGGCACACTATCCCCTCACCTCCTTCCCTATCTCCCTCCTTACCACTACATCTGCATCTGCAACTCTCTTCTCACCTCCGCACCTCCATCTCCACCTCCCTCCTTGCTCCCTCCACACCTTCACATTTCCACTCTTCCTTCCACACCTCCTTACATGCCTCCACACCTCCAATCAAGCTTTGTATGGGGATCCTTCTTTTATTTCCAGGACAGGGAACTCAAACTACAAATCTAAAGATGCTTTCTAAGGGTTCCTGCTGCCTAGGTGTCCTTGGGGTTGCCTTGGTTTTATCTTCCCATCCAGTCATTTTGGAATCTTAGGGTTTGGATTAGTATTTTCTCATAGCTAAGGATGCTAGCCATCTCTCCTTATCTATAACTATATATCATGTTTGCTAAACTGTTCAAATCCTTTGTACGTATAAAAATATTTTTGCCTTCTTGCTATTCAGTCTAGAGAGGTCTTTATACATTCTGGACACATATCCTTTGTCATATGAGAAATTTATAAAAGTTCTCTCTGGGTCCGTGGTTCATTTTTTTCATCCTCTTGACAGGGTAATGTACAGAATGGAAGTGTTTATTTTTTTTAATATTTCATTTATTTTTATTTTATGTGTATGAGTGTATTGCCTGCATGTATGAAAGTACACCTGTGTCATGCAAGGCCTGAGGAAGTCAGAAGAGGGCATCCGATCCCCCGGGAACTGGAGTTACAGACGTTGACAGTTGCCATATGGGTGCTGGGAATCGATCCTGGGTCCTCTGCAAGAGCAGCTAGTGCTCTTAATCACTGAGACATCTCTCCAGCCCTAGAAGTGTTTAATTTTTAACTAGTTTATCAATTTTTCTTTTGTATGTCATTATTTTGGTATGAAGTCTAATTTATCAAATTTTCTTTTTGTAGAGGTCATTATTTTGGTATCACAGGTAGGAACTCTTTTTTTTTAAATGGAGAACAAATTTTATCTAAAAGTAGGTCTCAGTAACCATGAAATATCAAAGGATGGTCATTATAACAGAAAAAAAGGTTATCAGAGTTTGCTTGAATTTTTTTCTTGATTATACCATAAAATGTTTCCAATTCTCATTTGTCTACATTTGAATAATTCCTTCTATGGGTTATCAAAGTGAATTTTAAAATCACAGAGTACATGTAGGAACACTTTAACTTAAGGTCACAAAGATTTGTCTTCTATGTTTTCTCTGATGTTTTAAATTATTTTTGCATTTTTAAAATTTACTCATTGTGTGAGTGCATGTACATACCACAGCATGTTTGTGGAGGTCCAAGGACAACTTGTGGGAGTCCATTCTCTCCTTCCACCATGTGAGTCCTGGGGATCAAACCTCGGGCTGACAAGCTTGGTAGCAAGCACTTTTACCTGATAGGCCATCTCCCTGGCCCATTCCTCAAAATTTTATAAAAAGTTTTTCATTCTGCCTGGCCTGTCACTACTAACCACATTTTCTAATGCCAGTAGAAATAAGGAAAATCAGCAAAATTAGTCTGGATACCAGATGATCTGAATCTTCCAATTTTATTTCCTTCTAAAGTGTCTTGCCTAGTTTAGTTCCTTTGTCTTTCCATGTACATTTTAGAATTAGCCTATTGAAAAATTCCTGCTGACGTTTTGATTGGAATTGTTAAACCACAAACCAATTTGGGGATAACACTGACTGGAGGCCCCTGAGCAGGATATATCTCTATTTATTTAGGCCTTTAATCACTTTGATCAGGCTTTTTCATTTTCCAAACACGGATCCTGCCTGTTTATGTTGGACTTAGACCTAGGCATTCTGTATTTTGTCATTTCTGTGTGTAGGACTGTTTTTTTAACTTTAATTCTGAGTTGTTGGTTGCTAGTATATAGAAATACAATTTGTTTTTCTAGGTTTACTTGTGTCATGTGACTACTAAACTCATTGGTAGTTCTGGGAGCTTTTTCATAGATTTTATAGGAGTTTGTTTTACTTTGTAATGTATGAGGACAGAAATAATCTATATTTTCTTTTCTTTTAAAAAACTTCTTAGCCAGGCATGGTGGTACACTCCTTTATCGCAGGACTCAGGAGGCAGAGACCAGGCTGGTCTACATAGTGAGTTTCAGGCCAGCCAGGGCTATAAATGAGACTCTATCTCAAAAAACAAGCAAAAATTTATTTTATTTTTATTTTTTGTATATGAATGTTTTGCCTTATATGCATGCTAATGTACCACTTACATGCCTGGTGTCTGTGGAGTCTAGGAGAGGGTGTCGGGTCCCCTGAAACTAGAGTTACAGATGGTTGCTAGCCACCATCTGGGTGCTGGGAACTGAACCCAGGTCTTCTGTAAAAGCAGCAAGTGCTCTTAAC